ACCTACCCCTATCTTCCTGTATACTTTAAATCATCTATAAATTACTTAGGGTCTAGTATAATATACTACTTAATAGCAGTTATACTATATTATGTAAGGGTTAATAAGAAAAAACTTTATATATGTTCAATAGAGATAAAATTTTTTCAGAATATTTTCCATTGGCAATTCATTGGCAATTTGCAGATATGATACCTGCAGATAGAGAGGGATGACTGTACTGATTTTCTATTATTCACTCTGGAGAGTTATAATTCCCTTATAATTTAAAGACAGAATTTGAAAAATATATTTTCTATGGACTACATTTATTCAACTTAAAAACCCCTAAGAATGCTTACTTACTTATGGATCTGTCAATTTTATGCACTGAAGAAAATAATTTAAAAATTAAACTTGTTAATACAGAATGAATTTAGAATTTTTTAAATCCATTGAAATCACCATAAGAAGGGGACTAAGGCACAAAAGGTTATAATACATATATGTATACCAATTTGGGTTATAATACATATATATGCATATATATATATGGAAATGCCATAATGAAACTCCTTATATAGCTAATCTTAAACAAACAAGAAGTCTCGCTTCAAAAACGGAGAAAAGGAAGGGAAAACAGGTCCTGTCTGGGGGTTTGTAAAAGTGGGACAGGGGAGGATAAAAGAAAGGGTGAGGAGGGTGAATGTAGTGGAATAGTATGTGCTCATGTATGATAATGGAAAAATGAGACCTGCTGAAAACTATCCTAAGAATGGGAAGAGGTGATAAAGAAGAATGATGGAGGGGGGTAAATTTACGACATATTGAAAGTTATTAATGCGAATTTTTACTTTAAGGAAAGCTCAAGGTTTGGGATATGGCTTAAACCACTCCACACGAGTGCCTGCCTAGCAAGCATGAGCCCTGAGTTCAAACCCTAGTACCACCAAAAATGAAAAAAAAAAAAAAAAAAAAAAAAAAGAAACAGGAACACTCAAGCAGAAAGGTGTATCTTTAAACAATCCTTAACAAGTGTATGTTATCTTGGAAACTCTGGCAGCATTAAAAGAAAACTATCAGGAAACTGAACAATGCAATTTTTCATTCATTTATTAGCAAATACTTCATTTTAACAAAAACTTATTGATTGCCTACTGAGTGGCTTTACAGATATGCTTGAGCCTACAATTTAGCCATAAGGCAATATTAACATATTTTACAAATTTTTCTTAATGACCAATCACAGATTAAAAGTAGAATTTAGCATTGAAACCCCTAAATAATTGTACTGACTTAATGTCAATAGAGCTAATCAATTGTTTTATTAAAACTAAAATTATCTTACTTTATATTTCATCTAATAATGTCAAAAGCTAGTGTGAATTAAAAGCAGTCTGGCTAAACATATATTTGCAAATATGCATTCCATGTTCTTAATATATAAATACTGACTCCTCAATTTTTTTTGGCAGTATTAGGGCTTGAACTCAGGGCTTCACACTTGTTAGGCAGGCACTACCAGCCCCTCAAATTCTTTACTGTTTAAAAGTGGCTAAGTTAGGAGGCGAATATGATCAAAGTACATTATATTCATGTACAAAAATGTTACAACAAAGCCATTATTTGTAAAATTAATATATGCTAATAGAAATCACTTAAAAAGAGTCATATCAATATTTCATTGTTAATCCATAAATAAGGTTACAAATCCCTTGTTTTCAGGAGACCATTAAAAAATTACTTGGTGTCCTGTGGCCAACAAGATACTACTTAAGAAGATAACTAGATTTAAGAATCTGTAATATGTACTGTGGATAAATGTACAAAATAGTTTTGAGACAAAAAGAGACTTAGTAATCATCCAATGCTTTAGAAAACATGCTGAGAGCGCAGGTTGCTCTCCAACTCTTCTCAATACAGCACTATTGGTGCATAAGAACTTGTGACTTGTCACATGCTATCTCTCTCCAGTACCAAGATAACTTATTTTATATCTTGTTTCTTCCCATAAATTTATACTGTCATATCTAACTCGTACAAATACATCAAAGCCATGTTATTTTGTAAGTCCTCAAAACTCTGAAATGTACATATTGATCATTTTTAGATATGCAAATGTATTACCTATTCAAATAGAAGGTATGTTTAATGTAACATCATTATTTTCTGGAAGCAGTCCAATTAGATATCCTACCAACAAAACAGTATTTCAAAAAAGGACTCAATATAATTAAGATGTTACAAATTGTTTGAAAACTGAAAGGCAAGAACATCATTGATTTAGCAGTACTTGAGGTATAGATTTCCTATTTGGAACAATATTTGAAAAATATCCCCTTATACAGTTTTTTTAGGTTATGATTCTAATTAAATTGATTTTTTTTCTTTTTCATTAGCCCCTAACTCTGCAGTGTGTATGGTAAATCACACATATGTGCCCATGCCAATATTTGCTCTAATAAAAAACCCCACATACATAAATGTTGAAAGATCCTAATTTCAAAAAAGCTATATATACCAGAATTGGTATCTTTATGTTATGAAACCAGCTATCCTCATAAAATTTACTTAAAGAAAGGAGTTCTGGCTACAGTCAATCCAATAAACATACTCACCTGTCTTTTATGGGGAAATTCTGTGAAATGTCTTTCATTAATTTTATGGCATCATACACTGGAGTGGACATTATTTGAGAAGCTGCTTGAAAACTAAGATCTGGAAGAAAAATATCATTAAGGAATCTAGCATAATGTTAGATCTTTACAGACATTTCCATGCAATTTACTTATTTTACTCAATTATTCTTTCCAAATATTCACATATAAACACATTAATACTTATATTATGCATTTATAAAAAGTTGTAAATGGAAAGCTATCATTTTGCATACAATTAAGGTAAGTATTCACCCTTTTTTGATTATCATTTAGTATCTATTATCTTGTTTCCACAAATTACTGTATAATTTGAAAAGAGATACATGAAAATCAGCACTGACATAAAGGTACTTTTTCTATATTTAGGTCAAATGAAATGGGACAACAATTTTTGATATGAAGAATAGCAAAGAGGAAAAAAGAGCTTTGAATAGCTAGTTCTGAAGAAAATTTTAAAAAGACCCTATGGGTTTAACATTCATTTTTGCTTTCAGTATTATTTACGTTTAAGCTGAAATAAAAATAAAATATTAAACTTAGCATTATTTTTCCTGAAATGACAGTTCTATTGAACAAAAAATGTGTGTGGCTAACCAACAGTCCCCAATACATAAAAACATGGCTGCAAGCATAAGGCCCTAAGTTCAAACCTCAGTACTGCCAAACAATACACCGCCCAATTATATATATCAGAAGCAGTAATTTTCTTAGTCTCATTACTTAGTCAAGAATAAGCATAGAAGTTTTTCTGTTTGTAACTACATGTCCTCTTACTTGATGCTCTCATAAAAAATTTATCAGTAAAACATGCAATGGTCTAACAAGATCAAAATTAAAGAGATAAAAACTAAGATTTGGTTCTGATTCCTCTTGATTTAATAATCAGGTTTTTTTTTTTTTTTCCCCAATTCTGGGGATTTAACCCAAGGACTTGAGCTTGCTAGGTAAGTGCTCTACCACTTGAGACAGGCCCCAGTCCTTTTCTTTTTGGTGTTCTTGATGCAGGGGCTTACTAATTTTGTCCAGGATGTCTTAAACTCATGATCCTCCTGCCTCTACATCCTGAGTAGCTGGGATTACAGGCATATTCCAGCACACCTGCTAATAGGATTTTTAATCACTGACACAGATTTTCTGAAATGGATTTAATACTTGAGACTAATCTAAAGATCAATCAGTAGATACTTTTAAGATGATAATATCAAGTAACTACACTTGATAAAAAGTCTTACTAACATAAAACATTACTTGCTTGATAAACTACTCAGTATATATTCCCACAAAAGTGATATAATTTATTTAGTTCACACTAATAGTAATCTGTAAGATAATAAATATGATGTTTTACAAGGCATATTTTATAAAATGAAGACCAGTTACCAAAGTGCTACGTTAAAGTAACTCAAAATACTATACCTTGTAGTTCCCAGACTTTCAAAGGAATCATTTCTTTGTTACTCTCAATCAGGTATTTTTGGAATATTGTCAGATTATCTCTAAGATCTGAATATAGTTCTCTGCATCAGAATATAAGTAATGTTAATTATCATCACTTACCACAAATCATTATATAAGCAATATGCTTCAGGAATTAACTTTTTAAAATAATTACACACAAGCTAATTGTTCAGCAGTAAGATAAAAAACTGTGATATAGCTATATTCATAGAACTTAAAAATATGAAGAAGATATGTATGTCTCTTCTTAAAGATATAAACCAAAACAAAATCTCTAGGGATATAGTCTCACTTGTAACACTACCTATAAGGGATGCAAGGATGAGGACAAAACTACCAATTTTTATGTTACATATTTTTACTTCAGTATTTTGTAAAATTGAAGGTATTGCTTTTATAATTTAAAATAAAAGCAATTTTATAAGACAAAAAAATGCTTCTTATACAATTTTTACTTGAACTTAGTCAAAAGGCCAAGAACATTCTTCTTATAAAATTTTATAGTTTATTCTCTAAGATGTTCCATATTTACTTCTTATAAAAAAACTAATTTTAACTAATTTTTAAGTATATCTAGGTATATTTTAGAGAGTCAAATAATAATGTAATAGAATGGCATTTTACTAAACACATCATCTAAACTATAAGATTTTCTCCATTGCTTATGAAATAAAAAAGGTGTCATCTAATATTTAAATAGAATCCTTTAAAAATATTAGTTTATGAAACACACAGCACAACTTATAAAAACATATAATTTCAATAATCAATAGAAATGAAAATGTTAGAAAGTAAAATGAAAAATATACAGAAGATGCATACAGAATGCTACTGTTAAAATTAAATATACAGAGTTCGGTGTCAATATCTTAAAATTCTACAAGTGGAACCACATTTCGAAAACAAATCAAGACTGACAGAGATTTTTTCAGAGCAATAGAACTTCTTCCTAGAAAATGTTTGCTATGAATTAAATGGCCTTCCTTTTCCAGTATTTTATTCTACAGAGCAGCGGTATGTTTATAAGCTATTGTACTGCTTTTGCATTTAGTCATAATCATATTTTTCATTGCTAAACTTTTTTACTAATTCAGGGAAAATATGTATTATTCATACAATATCTCAAAGCAAATAAGTGTTTGAAATTAGGAATCAATTTAGTTACTATGAAGAACTGAGTATTTCTTCTTTCAAAGAACAACTCAGAGTTCCAAGGGAGTTTTGGAGGCATGTGATTTTTCCAAAAAAAGATAAAAAAATGAATTAAAAAACAAAAAAATTACAGATTCCAACATGTTGAATCATAGCTGCAAATGGGATAAAATGTATTGCTATTACTAAGCAAATACCGTATTAGAATACATCTGCTTGTAAGATGCATCATCGTTTTAAGGTCACTAGTATACTGTTTGGTCAGTGTAATTTAAAAATATAACTCATTTACCTGTGTAAAGTTAGCACAGTGTACAGTGCTGTCTGTATACTTATCCACTCACAAGGAGAACCAAACTCAGTGTCTTTTTTATGTTTTGCAATATTAAGAATTAAAGGTGAATAAAAACATTCCTTTAAATTGCCTATATAAGCCATTCCCACTCATGAGTACTCAGAAAACGACTCACCACCCTATTCCTTGTCTTCAGTCAGCATGGCAGAAAAAAAGAAGGGGCACAATTTTAATTTTTGAAAGTTTATTTACGTGAGTATATAAAACTAAGACCAGATGTTAAAAAGATTTTAATATGGCAAACTATGGCAAAGAAATTTAGGGAAAAACCTCTTTGTTGGAGCATAAATTTCATCAAGTGTAAGATCCACATTGTCCATGATTTTTGTAACTCGTTAGATCTGTAAGTGTTAGATATTATAAGCTTTTGCTTTAATTTTCTTCTAGAAGTAACTTTCATCTTTTTCAATCATGTTTTTCTAAGCACACTAATCAAATTTATCATACAAAAGATTTAAATTTTTCTGATATTTTACGAATGTCAGAAGTATTAAAACTGTCTTTAAAAATAAAAAATATATAACTTTAAAAAGCATTTTTATAGCTCACCTAATTGTTTTATGAATAAAGAATCACTTTGCTATTCAAAATAGTAAGTATTAGCTAACGTTATTACTACATATTTATTTTACAAATAAATCTTCTACTTAGATTTCTTTTCCTCAAAAGAAATTCAATTCAAGCAATGTTTTCTTCTTGCATTATTTTAAGAAACTGTTTTAATTACTTGAACATCATCTTAAGTGAAGTTAGTCAGGCTCAGAAGGCCAAAAATCGCATGTTCTCCCTCATACAGATTATAGACCTGAAGCAAACGCAGTAACATTACTGGACATGGGTCACACACTAAGGGGAGAACACGCACAGGAGGGATAGGAAAAGGGAAGGAAGCCAAAACCTGAGTGTGGTTGATGTGCTCACTGTATAGCAGTGAATATAGTAATCCTAAACTGGCAGAGGCCACTATGAGAAGGGCACCGGGAAGTAGTGAAGAGTTCTGGTAGAGATGAACCAATGTGGGTTGTAATATATGTATGCATGGAAATAACACAAGGAATTTCTCTGTATAGCTATCTTTATCTCAAACAAGCAAAAACTCTGTTTTTCTTATTATCTTTTATGTTTTTTCTTCAACAAAATCAGAGAATAAGAGGGTAGAACAGGTTGGGGAGGTGGCCCAAATAATGTATACACATGTAAGTAAATGTAAAAACAATAAAATAAAATTTTAAAAACTTGGTAATTGTTATTTTCATTTCTTTTTAAAAATTTTAATTAATTAATTTGGCAATACTGGGATTTTTGTTTTGTTTTGTTGTTTATTTATTCACATGTGCATACATTGTTTGGGTCCTCAAGGCATCGCACTTGCTAAGCATGTGCTCTACCACTTGAGCCATGCCCTCACCCTTTCTGGCTTTAGTTAGTTTTCAAGTAGGGTCTTGTGTTTTAGCTCAGGGCTGGCCTAAGATCACAATCCTATGTCCTCCCGCTTAGCTGCAAGACAGCACATGACACCATACCTGGCTTACTGACTGAGTTGGGGTCTCATTAACTTTTTGCCTGAGCTGGCCTCAACCTATGGTCCTCCAGATCTCTACCTCCTAACTGGAGTTACAGGTGTGAGCCACCACTTCCAGCTATAATTTTCACTTCATTCATTTTTAACAAATACTTATATAATGCCATGAACTATATTACAAACAATTGCTTTTCATTAATATATATTAATTCTACAAAGATGTTTTATTGTGATATTTCCATACATGCATAAAATGTACTTTGTCAAAAAATCAGTTGCATGGTATGGGTCCACTGTGCAAAATAATATTCTATATGTGTATTTATTTAAGCTACGAAAACATGCTCAGCTAGGTTGGAAAGATACACACCAAAACATCATGAGCGTAAGTTATCTCCCACTTATAGAATTAGTGGTAATTACTTTTTAATTATGTGCTTTGTTGCTTTTTCTAGCTGACATTAGCTGTGTTTCTTTTTATAATAAAAATAAAGGTATGTATATAAATACTACATATATAAAAAGACAGAACACATACCAACAGAGCATATCTAGCTAATTCCTTTAAAAACAAACGTGTAATAATGCCAATTACATTTCAGACTTACTTTAACTTCCCAAAGAGAAATCCGTGTACTTCAGTTGCTTCAGTCTCATCTTCTATGGTATTATTAGTTGAGGCTGTATTTTAGAACAATAGCAAGTAAAACAAAATATTTTCAGATTGGACAAAAACATGTAATCAAAAATTAAATGTAATCACAATGAAGTGAAATTCCACTTGTTTTATACTGCTTTTCCTTCATGGACAAACAATATACATGTATGTGTACAGATTTATATTCCTAATTATGCACTTTTTATTTATTTTAATTTCCTTTTGTCGTGTTTTTAAATTATTCCTTTATTCACATGTATATACTTTGTTTGGGTCATTTCTCCTCCCCTGCCTCCCTCTTCTACCCTCTCCCTCCTTCCCCCCTTTGGTTCCAGGCAGCTCCTGTTCTGCCTTTATCACTTATTCTGTTGAAGAAAAGACAAAAGCCTAGTAAGGAAGACAAAGCATTTTTGCTAGTTGAGTTAAAGATAGCTATACAGAAATATTCCTAGCATTGCTTTCGTGTACTTACGTGTTATAACCCATGTTGATTCATCTCTAACTGATCTTTACACTGGTTACTGATCCCCTTCTCATGATAACCTCTGTCGCTTTAAGGTTTCTGTATTAGCTCCTCAGGAGTGGGGACATCAAACGCTTTCATGTTTTGGGTTTTCTACCAATTCCTGTATCTCCTGTATGTGCTCTCCCCTTGTCATGTGATCCACGTCCAACCACACTGCTGTGTTTGCCCTCGATCTAATGTCTGCATATGAGGGAGAACATACAATTTTCAGTCTTCTGAGCCTGACTGACCTCACTCAGAATCATGTTCTCCAGTTCCATCCATTTACCTGCAAATGATAAGATTTCATTCTTGATGGCTGAATAAAATTCCAATGTGTACAAGTACTACATTTTCTTGATCCTTTCATCAATAGTGGGGCATCTAGGTTGTTTCCATAACTTGGCTATTGTGAATAGCGCTGCAATAAACATGGGTGTGCAGGTGCCTCTGGAGTAACCTGTGTTGCACTCCTTTGGGTATATCCCCAGGAGTGGGAATGCGGGATCATATGGCAGGTCTATGTTCAGATTTTTAAGAAGTCTCAAAATTTTTTTCCAGTGTGGTTGCACCAGCTTGCATTCCCACCAGCAGTGTACAAGGGTTCCTTTTTCCCCACATCCTGGCCAACACGTTGTTGGTAGTGTTTTTGATATGGCTATTCTGACAAGGGTGAGGTGGAATCTTAGTGTGGTTTTGATTTGCATTTCCTTTATGGCTAGAGATGGTGAGCATTTTTTTCATGTGCTTTTTTGCCATTTGAATTTCTTCTTTTGAGAAAGTTCTGTTTAGTTCAGTTGCCCATTTTTTAATTGGTTCATTGATTTTAGGAGAGTTTAGTTTCTTAAGTTCACTGTATATTCTGGTTATCAGTCCCTTGTCTGATGTATATCTGGCATATTTTCTCCCACTCTGTGGTGGTCTCTTCAGTTTGGAGACAATTTCTTTTGTTGTGCTGAAGCTCTTTAATTTTATATACTCCCATTTGCCCATCCTTTCTCTTAGTTGCTGGGCTGCTGGGGTTCTATCGAGGAAGTCCTTGTCTATACCCATCAGTTCCAGAGTGTTTCCTGCTCTTTCCTGTAGTAACTTCAGAGTTTCAGGTCTGATATTTAGGTCCTTGATCCATTTTGAGTTGATACTATTACAGGGTCATAGCCATGGATCTACTTTCAGTTCCTTGCAGATGGGTAACCACTTTTCCCAACATTTGTTGAAGAGGCTGTCTTTTCTCCATTGTATAATTTTGGCACCTTTGTCAAAAATGAGGTGGGTACAGTTGCGTGGATTCATATCAGGCTCCTCTATTCTGTTCCACTGGTCTTCATGTCTGTTTTGTGCCAGTACTATGCTGTTTTTATTGCTATTGCTTTGTAATATAGTTTGAAGTCAGGTATTGTGATACCTCCACCATTGCTCTTTTTGCTGTGTATTGCCTTGGCTCTTCGTGGTCTCTTGTGTTTCCAAATGAACTTTAGGGTAGATTTTTCAATCTCTGTGATGAATGTCATTGGGGTTTTGATGGGTATTACATTCAACACCTAGACTGCTTTCGGTAGTATATCCATTTTTACTATATTGATTCTACCGATCCATGAGCTCGGGAGATCTTTCCATCTTCTGTAGTCTTCCTCGATCTCTTTCTTCAGGGGTTTGTAATTCTCCTTGTAGAGGTCATTCACATCCTTTGTTAAATTTACTCCTAGGTATTTGATTTGGGGGGGGGCTATTGTGAATGAATTGTTTCCATATATTCCTTCTCAGTTTCTTCATTGTTGGTGTGTAGAAAAGCTAATGATTTTTGTAAGTTGATTTTGTATCCTGCCACTTTACTGTAGCTATTTATGGTGTCTAAAAGCTTTTGGGTAGAGTTTTTTGGGTCTTTAAGGTATAGGATCATATCATTTGCAAATAAGGGTATTTTGATAGTTTCTTTACCTATTTGTATTCATTCTATTTCTTCTTGCCTAATTGCTCTGGCTAGAAATTCCAGTACTATGTTGAATAGGAGTGTGGAAAGTGGGCACCTTTGTCTTGTTCCTGATTTTAGAGGGAATGGTTTTAGTTTTTCACTATTAAGTATGATGTTGGCTATAGGTTTGTCATATATAGCCTTTACAATGTTGAGGTACATTCCTTCTAGTCCTAGTTTTCTTAGAGTTTTTATCATGAAGTGGTGTTGGATCTTGTTGAAGGCTTTTTCTGTATCTATTAAGATGATCAAGTGGTTTTTGTCTTTTCTTTTATTGATGTGCTGTATTACATGTATAGATTTGTGTATGTTTAACCATCCCTGCATCCCTGGGATGAAGCCGACTTGGTCATGGTGTATGATCTTTCTGATACGTTGTTGGATTCAGTTTGCCATTATTTTATTAAGGAGTTTAGCATCAATATTCATTAAGGAAATTGGCCTGTAGTTGTCCTTTTTGGAGTGTGTTTGTCTGGTTTTGGGATGAGAGTTATATTGGCTTCATAAAATGAGTCAGGCAGTGTTCCTTCCCTTTATATTTTGTGGAACAGTTTAAGGAGAGTTGGTATTAGTTCTTCTTTAAAGGTCTGCTAGAATTCAGCAGTGAATCCATCGGGTCCTGAACTTTTATTTTTTGGGAGACTCTTTATTGCTGCTTCAATTTCTTTTTGTGTTATAGATCTATCCAGGTGATTAATATCTTCTTGGTTTAGTTTTTCTAATTATGCTGTTTTTAAATGGCCTTAGATTAAGATTTAACAACTATAGTGAATGCTTTATAGATTATTTCATGGTCACACTCTATTTTATAACCAGAAATGATAAGACGAAAGGTTTGTAGCAAATGCTGGGCTTAGCTTTTAAGTCTAGTGGGAGATCACAATCTAATAAATATAAGTTCTTGTATATTTTCAACACCCTTAAAGATAATCAAGGAAGCTTTAGAAAGAAGCAAACTCAGCCTCAAAGAATAAGGATTTAAGATTTTACAGTCATTTTCTTCTCCCTTACCAAATAATTGACAGTATTGGCAACAGGACTAAGTGAAGAGTGCTATCAGGTGCTCTTCATCAGTATATCAGAGCTCACCAAGTACACTTCCCCGCTTTGTTAGTCTTCTGAAGCTCAGAAGACCGTAAGTGAAAACCTCGGTGCTACAGTCTATTCTTCCTTTTCCTTCTGTTCATTCACTGGACAAACATTTGCTGGGATAGACACCAGAAAAAGAGACACAAATGATACAGTCCATGCTTCGTGGAAAAGGAGAGACACAAATGGACAACTTAAAGCACAGAAATAGTTGCTACATAAAAAATAGAAAACATACCTATGACAGGTCAGGAAAACAGTCATCTCAAAGGTACTGATATATGAGCCTTAAAAGATGAGTAGGACTTGGATGAAACAAAAGAGGTGTGAGACAGAAAGAGGGTTATAGCCGTAAGTTACACCATATGCCAAGGCAACATCAAGGCTTTGTGTGGCAAGCACAGAGGTTTCTAACGAACAGAAAATTATTCTGAAACAGCAGTTTAGTGTTACAGGAAGAGGTACATACAAGAGAGTCCATTTCATCTCATCTTCTGTAGTGGAAAGTTTTGTTTGCAATGTTATAGTACCTGAATTTATGAGGGAGGTTAAAAGGAACAACTAAAGGATTTTAACCAGTGGAATCATAGTCAGGTTTTTATCAGAAGTTCATTTTGAAAGCACTATGCAGAGAAGTGTGATTAATCCATTTTGGAGGGTAAAGAAAATGAGGGCACTGAAGACCAAAGTTCTTAGAAGTCTTATATACATATATATGCAGAGAGAAGAAAAGTGAATTAAACCAAAAAAGTGGCAACTAGAATGGAGAAGAAATATTCCAAATATATGTAAAAGACTGATAATAGAATTTAGTACATAATGTAGATAACATATATTTAATCACCTGACTTTTAAAGAAAAATTTCTATAGGCACAGGATAGAGTATGTGTTATGTTACTATCCTAACTATAAGATACCAAATTAAAAAGCATTACAGAGCCACGTATAAACTATACAGGAATAGATAAAGTCTGGATGTAGGTCTTCATTTCAAGCACATCCAACAGGAGCAGCCAAGCTAAGTCTGTGATGGAGCCAGGGCCTCTATAACCAGATCCTGAACAGGAAGACAAAGCTAAGCAGAAGTCACACCTGAGTGCACATTAAAGAAGAAATAAGACCAGGTATGGTAGTTCAAGCCTATAATCTTAGCTACTTGAAGAGAGATTGGGAGACTGCAGTTCAAGGCCAGCTCAGGCGATACATTTGTGAGATCCCATCATAACCAATGGCTGCGAGAAGTAGGGCATGCCTGTCATCCCCGTTACACAGGGTAGCACAAATAGGAGGACTGTGCTCCAGGCCAGCTCAAGCATAAACCTATTTCCGAAATAACCAATGCAAAAAGGGCGAGAGCCAGGGCTCAAGTGGTAGAGTGCCTGCTTAGCAAGAGCAAGAGCAAGAGCAAGAGGAAGAGACCCTGAGTTTAACCCCTAGTACCTCAACAACAAAAAAAAGTAATTAAAAACTCTTAACCAAGAATCAGGCATGAATTTCAATGAACCAGGTAATAGAGAAGATATCCATAAGAGTGGTTAGAATCTCCTTTATTTAGGCCTCCACCTTCTTCATTCAGAGCATCCTTTAGTTCAGAGAACAACTACAGGTAGATTCTGGTTTGTAGATCACAAATGTGATGGATCTACCTAATCTAAACAAACAATTCACAGATCTTGGAATCCTGCTTTAAAAAAATTATCCTGACTTCATTATAAATAAAAATGTGAGGCAAAATTTCCTAAAGTAGCGTGTCAACAAGGAGCTACAGTATGTTGGAAACATTAATCCCTTAAAGCTCTGAAAATATAGTAACATTAAATAATTTCTGTCATCTTAAAATTAAATTCCAAACTAAGAGGGAACATGTCCACCCAAGCTCCAGCTGCAAATGAACACATGCACAAATCATATTAATTATATATTTTTTGTAATAAAACTATGTAAGCATCCAATTTTTCATTCTACTCACATATAGAGATCTAAAAAAAAAAAACTTACTTTTAACTTGGATATATCCAGTGCTTTGTATTCTGTACTCTTAATTGCTAGCTCCACGCCATAGCCAGATAAGTACATTTTCCGTGTGCTTGGTTTCTGTTCAAACATATTTATGTTTTAGAAAAAGAGAAAATACTTAAGCATATTGTTTTAAATTCAACACAACTGGTGCTTTAGAGCATTAGGGTTAATTGCTAATATTGAAGACTTTCTCTTTCTTTTTTTCTAGTTCTGGGTAGAACCCAGGTTCTCTCACATGCTAGACAAGCAGTCTAATACATCTGGAGCTCAATACTGAAGGTTTTCCACTGTGGAATATTATTTGGGGAAGATTTATGCTCTCTACATAGTCTATCAGGCTGATAACCCCCCACTTTTGACCTTAGTTTTTGAGCAGGGTCTCACATTTATGCCTGGGTTGGCCTGGACCATGATCCTCCTATTTACACTTTCCAAATAGCTAGGATGACAGGTGTTTGCCACCACACTCAGCTTTTATTGGTTGAGGTGGGAGTCATAGTCACTTTTTGCTTGGCCTGGCCTGGAACCAGAATCCTCCCATCTCCACCTCCTGAGTAGCTAGGATTATAGTTATAATTTACCTCACATGGCTTGATGACCCCTTCTTTACTACCTACAAACTTTGCTATGACTCTACAGCTTTAATTACTTTTACAGTGAAAAACATCTGATCTTTTTCTGTCATACAATGACAGTTTTTCCATATATACCATGAGTTAACAGAGCATCCAATGCAGTCAAGTTTCAACAAAACTGTATTCCTTTTGGAGACCTTCACAAGACTTGGTAAGCCAGCAAATACTACTCATTTGTCAGGTGTATAAATGTAGGACAACTAGAGAGCTGCCAAAAGCACATAATGAAAAGTAGGGGCAAAGGAAACAAAAGAAAAGGCAGAGAGAGAAGAGAAAAGGAAGGAAAAGAAACCACAACTCAGTACCTTGAAAAACCTGCTTAAGTCTTTCTTCATGTTTCTAAATGTTGAAAATACACCAAATGCCACAAATTATTAACTGTTCTTGGAATGGCTACAATTGACTAAAGCTGAGTTGTCTGAAGTATCTATGATCCGAATTTTAGCACCTAATTTTCCTCTTTCTAAAAAGGACAAATAGAAAATGTGCCTCTAGCCAAAAAAAGTCACATTTTATTAAAAAGGAAGCAACTTGGATGAATATACACAATATTTTAGATATCTAAGGGTTTTTTTTGTTGTTGTTTGATTTTTTTACTATCAGTTGTATTAGAACCATTATAATTGGGCATATTATTTCAGGGTCTCAGCGAACTCTTGGAAGATGCTATGTGTTTCTGCTTAATACTGGTTTGTGTTAGGGGCATTTTTCGAATCTTAAACATAATAGAGCAAGAGGTAGGGGTACAGCTTGGAGGAAGGAAGGCCCTAATTGTGGATTGCACCTTTTATTCTCTTCTTTCCTCACTAAACTTTCCCCCAGCCTTAAAAATAAGCATATGACCAGAGTAATTATTTTTTGACCTGTTCTATTTCCAAATAAGAACATGTAAGAGATGCAGACAGTATTAACACCTCTGCCCACATTAAAATTTAATTTGCTACTATCTCAGGCACATGGTGTAACGAAAGACAGTGTGTAGAAACCAGGTTATTTATAATTACAGTAATCTGATAAAGCTGAAAAAAATTTAAAGCATTCTCAATTTCAAATAGCTCAATTAAAAAATATATTCGAGTATCCACTCAAAAGACAATCAGTGGGTAGCTTAGCAAATTGAAGCTATAAGGCCATATATTCTGTCATAGTTCATAAAAGAAATGCAACTCCATATAACCAATTTCTATTATTAATTCTAGAAAGTTATTAGCGCCTCAGTAATAAAAATGTTTATTAAATTCACATTTACTTTTCCCATTTGAAATATATTAAAATAAAATTTGAATTATAGTTTGATAAGTTTGGATTTGCTAAACAAAATAATCATAGGCCAAAACCAATAAGAAAATTCTTCATTTTTATATTTCCTTTTTCTCCTACAAAAGGCATCTACTCAAAAGGTAGCAAAAATAGGTCTATTTTTATTAGAATTATATGTTGACTAGATTTGCTTGTAGTATAGTAATGTACAAGATGGCATTCATTAAGCAGGCTATAATTTGATGCTACTTTCAAAGAAGCATATTCAAAGAAATGACTTTCAAAGAAGCATATTGTAGAATGGTCACACATTCTACGAAGAATAAAGGGACAGATTCTCAAAAGATGGACATACCTTCTAGTGGCATATTAGAATCATCTTGGGACATTTAAATAGGATAAACATACACTTTTATCTCCTATTCCCATTCCTATTCTAATTTGCCTCTAATTTGTATTCTGCCCCACCCAGTAGAAAATCACAGCCTAATGTGCCACTGTTATTGATGGGAATGAATCTATCCATCCCCCTGATAACCTCAGGAGAAAGATTAGAGAATCAGACTATATGAAATGTTTTGTGTACATACTCTAGCCCTATTACTATTGATTCTCTTTATGTTTCCTATTTGCTTTTTCTTTAAATACAATTATATCTAACACTATTATATCTAACATAATGATGTATTTGTTTTATATCTCTTGCCACTCAAATGGAAGCTCTCTGAGAACAAGGAATGTTTTTATCTTACCCACTGCTACGTGAACATTGCCTGGCAGAGAGGCATTCAAATATTTATGGAATTAATGACTTAAATGTGTATTTAGAAATTATAAACACATCTAATGCACCCATACTTTTTCTTTATGTCACCTTATACATCATTTAAATACAGATTATCAAATATCTATACTCTACTTTGCCAAACACTCAAGAATATTTACTAAGATTTCTTCATTTCCAGTAAATAGTAGTTAACTTAACCAAAATTATACAATGAATGATTAAGATTGAGAATGGTAAAGAACATTGGGGAAAAACACTGCATAAGTTAAATGTTTAATATAATGGACAAGTTCCTCACTTGTCAGAAGGCCTCACTGACCCAGTTTTCTCTCCCTTTCTCACCTGTAGTTCTCAGAGTAACTGCGGAATGTGCCAGGATGCAACATTCCAAGATGAAGTGGAAATGGCTGGAGCAGCCGAGGCTCTGTTCATGTCTCTCCTAGACCAGGATGTTCTATAATGCTTTAGCGCAGCATGTCCAGTGGTCCTCTAGGTATAAAACCCTGAGCAACGATCCCTTTCAAAGTCCCTCAGCTATAGTGCAATTAACTGTCAGATAGGTGGGGAGGATAAATTGAACCCATAAGCCCTAATCTACTGTCAAGTGACCACCACTGGAGGACATGAATGTGCTCTTTTGGGCAACTTTCCTGAGCCTTGGGAGAATGGCTAGCCATGAATGTTAGGCTTCTGTTGTACTTTGCTATCTATGAATAAGTAATAAAGTTGTTTCACTTAACTTGTGTGAGTGCTCTATCTTGTCAAGACTCATGCAAGTGGACAGATGTTAGTACACAGTGTTGGCTAGGTGTTTTGTTTGCAGTCCTCCCCTGAGATTGATAAGAAAGCACAGTAAGCCTGCTTCCCAAATTATCAAAATATAGAAAATAAAATTAAGATACAGAAATGAGCTACTCATTTTTCATCTAGCACTGAACAATGTGCCTGAATTGCATGCATCTTTGGAAAATCAGTATTATAATGCCACAAATAAATAATCCCTTCCCAAATCCACACTCCTTTGTAATACAACCTTGCCAATTATCACCAAGAAATCAAACTTGTTTCTCCATTCTTGTGAATCTGGTTGGCCTTGTGAGTTGTTTTGATTAACATAATGTGCCAGATGTATCACTGTATAAGCTCTTGGGTCTAGGGCTTAAGAGACATGTTTCCAACTTCTACTCTGTTGACATTCTAAGCCACCATGATGTGAAGAATATAGTCTAACTTATTAGGAGGTAAGAGGGGACATGCAAGGAGCTACAGTCACCAGTCAAAACTACCACATAAGTGTGACAAGATAACTTGAACTCTCAAGCCATCATCTGCTATCAAATAACCACTGTATGAATGAGACTAGGAGAAGTTCCCAGAAGATCAACCCACAGAATCAGTGGAAGTAAAAAGTAATTATTGCTTTAAGCCCCTAAATTCTGGAAAGGTTTTTTTTTTTAGTACAGCAATTCAGATACAGACACAGAATTTGATAAATTAGTAAAAAGTGAAGGTGAAAGGAAAGAATGACAGTCTCTTCCTCATACATACCTAATTAAAAGAATACCTAGTTTCCTCATAAACACTGGTAACTTAAAATGGGTTAAAGGGGTGGATAAAAAAATTCATCTTTCATACAGGACTATAAAATAGGTACAGTATACACATGGGGGGGTATAGCGGGAGAGGAAAGGGTGAATGAAGGAGATTAAGGTGAGGGAATGTGGCTGATGGACTTCATACACTTATGCAAAATAGAACCAAGAAACCTCTTGCAATTACTTTAAGTGGAGCGGGGAGGGTTGAGGGGGAGAGAAAATGGGGGTGATCTAACCAATGTACATTATAAGTCTAATTGGAATTGTCACTATGACACAACGTATAATAAATATATCTTAATAAAAATTTTTTAAAAATTCATCTTTCAAGCACTAACCAAAAGAAAGAATGAATAGATATATCAATTTCAGACAACATAGACTTTACAACAGGAATATTATTGGGGCAAAGAACTAATTATACAATGATAAAGAGCTGAATTCTAAGGAGATCCAAGATGGTGGATAGGATAGGGAATCAGAATTCTTGAGTTCTGTGATTTTAGAAACCACTTCAAGACATGGTAGCTACATTTGCATAATTCTGATTCTTTTTAGCCAACTAAATAGCTGCCAATACATAGGGTGCACATAAAATTCAAGGACTGACCCTTTAAACAGCTTTTAATTGCACCTGACAGCCAGGGAAATCCCTACGTGGCACAGCCTCTAGGGCGTGTCTATCCTGGGAAAAGACCCCTGGCTGCTTCTTCCTCCCTTTTCTTTCTTTCTTTTTTTCCCCCCAAAAAGCAAAAGATAGGGCATCAAACAGAACTGAATCCTGAGACATGCTGGACTCCTAACACATGGAAAGCCTATCTACACCCTGCTGGGCTGAATCCAGTCCTGGTTAGCGCCTGCTTTGAGAAAAGCCACCCGCCATTTCTCCCCACCAGCACCCTCCCACACCCCCTGAACATACTCCAGCGCAGCTCTTGGACAAACTACATGTCCCCGTGGACACAACTGAAAAACAGAGACAGTGAATTGTAATCT